AAATTAAGCTCACAACCTTAATTATTTATCATTAGTTTTGATTAATTATAATTTAGTCCTTTTAAGGACTTAGTTGACTAAATTGTATTTATGAAGTGGCTTGAATATATAACTTAATTGAGAATATTGTGAAACTTTTAGGGTTAAAGTATAATTTTTCAAAATTGCATATGCCTTGTAAGTGGTGACTGGCACCACATAAGCATTGATAGAGAATTTCGTTAAAAAAAGCTAAAAAAAGCTTATTAAAAAGTTTATATATGAATTTGGAAGAAACTAAATTTTTGGACTAAAATGATAAGAGAACGATAGTTAGTAGATAAAAAAATTAAATTTAACATTTTTAATTTTGATAATTCACTCTAAATTTAATATATATATATTTAATAATAAAAAATATAATATTATATTAAAATCTGTTCGAAAAAAATCGAATCTAAACTAAACCTGCAAACTGAAATACGTTCCACCTACTTCAGAAGCATGATCCCCACTGCAGTTATATGGGGAATGCACTCTAAATTTAATATTAAACATTAGATAATGTCAGTTAATAATTTCAAGGGCAGAAGGTGCAAATCAGCCCCTCTACTGAAATATTGTGGCATGTTAGCCCTTTTACTCTTTTTGCTAGCAACGCACCCCTTCTACTTACCAAACCAATGCAAACCGCCCCTTTTGCTTGTGATGATGTCATAAAATGTCAGCATTCCGTTTCCTTTGCCGTTACGCCGTTAAGCCTTGCTTACGTGGACCTGAGCTGCACAAAATTGTTAAGGTTAAATACCCTTTTTGGTCCCTCTACTATAAGAAAAAGTCCCTTTTTAGTCCCTATACCGAAAAAATTTCCTTTTTGATCCTTACTGTTCACAAATCCAGCTCCTTTTTAGTTCTTCTGTTAATTTTTACTTACGTAGCACGTTAACTTAATTGGAACGGCTGATGCGGATATGCCAACATGTCAAAGATGCTTACATGGACTTAATGACATCCTCCATGTCACCCTCTCCGCGTGGAAAATTAAAAAAAAAAAGGTTAAATACTAAATTTGATCCCTTAACTTTATAAGTTTGCACTTTTTTGATCTTAAATTTTTTTTTTATCTTTTAACTTTAAAAATTACACAATTTTAGTCCTTTCATCAGTTAAATATGACGTGACAATAAATAATTTCATTTGACATTTTCTTTTAATTTTTTTATGACATGACA